GCCACAAGACAAATTCCAATTCTGATAGCTCTAAAGTCTTGTGGATTGTGATTTTTTTTAATATAAACATTTCTCACGTATAAATAAAACTTCTTATGAAGATATCTGAGATGTGGAGCAGAGCAAAAGGAATTTAATCTTGAGTAATGTTTATAATAGGGGGTTTCCCTAGACAGTTCCCTTTCAACTTTATTTAGATGACTTGCCTATTTTAAAGGACAAGTCAGGGAGAAAATAACACCCACTGATAGTGGACTACTTTTGTTTAGGTTTACCTTAGCAGCAGTGATGCTGACATGTCCATGTCAGGTTTACTCGAATACCCCAAACATAGTAAATGGTCATCCTTGGACGTTTCAGTCTAATCTTTGTGTGTTGATGGCGTTGTATCAAGCTGACAAGTGCTGAGCTCTGCATGGCTCTAGGCAGAAATCTCCTTAACAAGAAAGTGTCTGAAATCAAACAGCCATCACTTGGGCTGATATTTCATTTTAAAGCTGAACACAGTCACTATTAAAAAAAAACCTGTGTCAGATGTAAATATATCTGGTTTCGCTTTCTAGCCACAGATTTCTTAAATACCTTTGTCAGTGACGGTAGAACTCTAAAATTCTTTTAACCATGGCTGGTGGCGATAGCTGATTACTCTTCAGATAAGAAAGATGTTTCAGGAGAGATCCTGCAATTCAGTGTGTCTGAGCTCTCTGATGGAGGGAAGTAAGACTTGTATTTCCAGATCATTGGTAGAGCTTCTCTACTTTCTTGTACAGTTCCAATTTGTCATATTTCCTTAATTAGTTTGTGATTGACACTTATTTTCTGTATGCTGATGCTACAGCCCTCTGTGTCCAAGAAAGTAGTTCTATTTTATGTGCTTTTGGCAGAAAATTTTATTCTGTTCTGCAGATTTGACAGGGAGCTATATCACAGCAAACCTCAAAATATTTTTTGTAATTTATCTATGCAAAACATCTGTTATAACCAGTTCTTTTACTATTTTAGTGAGAAAATAAAGAGAATATCTCAGAAAGCTAGGTATTTTTCTTCCATGTCTGTTTTCATGCATGTGGGGTTTACTGCTGATTGTGAATACCCCTGCCTTTTTTCTTCTGCATGGAGGATATGAGATCTTGTTAATACTGAAACGTGCTTTATCTTAGCACAGATTGTCTTAACACTTGCGTAGAACTTTTCTATAATGCATAATCATTTTGACATCAACATTTAGGCTATTTATGACTTCTCTGCAATCACTGGGGTATCTGTATAGCATATTTGGATAGATTTTTCTGGATTGTTTATGCAATGAGCTTTTAAAAAGTAGAATGGGATAAGCTGGATCTCAAATTTTGTGTAAGCTAACTTCCCACAAAAAGGTAAATACAACAATTGAGTAACCTAGTGGTTCTATAGCTATATTAGTGATGTTTTTAAATGTCCAACTGCAAAACAAATTAATTGAGGAATTAAAGTGATCAGTTGTTGAATGTTGAAAATGCAGAAGTAGCAGTTCTATATGTGGGCATTGAGTTAATGTAACAGTGTATTAAGTGAATTATGTCATAATTGCTAAGATAAGTAAAGTAGTATCAAAGTGAGCTATAAGGAGAGAGATTTGATCCCAGCATGAATTCAGAACTCAAAGTGGGCAGGAATTGTTAGTAAATTGTACTTACATGATTACTGCGAGGTTCTTAAGAACTCAAGTATTTGTCATGTGAAGATGTAAAGGGAAATAATGACTCATTTTTTGTCAAGAAGCTAAGTTTCAGAAAGATTTAGAGTTCAGTATGGAGGTGTAAGCTTTACCTGGCTGATTTATAACTTATTTTAATCAGTGGAAGTAATACGAAAGTGAGTAATACTGAAAGTTGTCCAGAATATTGTGGGGTAAAATCTAGAAACCAAAAGGAATTAAATATTCTATGTTCTCTGTTTGTTAACCAAAAGTATTGCTTTGCCTCCAACATAATTAATTCTTTCGAAACTGAAGAGACTAGTTCAGTCCAGTGCTGCTATGGAATATTTTGAAGGTATGATTGGTTTCATAACACATTTAGTAATGCTGGAAATATGCTACACAATATTGCGTGCAACATACAGCACATACAGCATAGCTTTCCAAGCTTGTATATAAGTACAGATGCTTTGTATATTACATTAAAAAAGCTCCACATGCATTCATGAGTAGGAACCTAATCTAGATTTGTGCACAGTTTTTGTGCACAAATGCATTCTGATCCATGCAAAAGGAATCCTGCAGTCACACTGTGTAGGAGTTACATTTAAGTATTACTTAGGGAGCTCTTTTTCAGAACTAGGATGTCATGGGAGATTAAATATTGACAGGTGGTTTCTGTAGGCCAGAAGTGTACAGAAGAAGAAGTGTACAAAAATGCAGGAGGCATAGGTTGGTATATAAGACTTCATAGATTCTGAGATAAGATATTTAGTCTTCTCCAATTGCAACTGTTCTCTAGCCCTTCAGATACCTAATCAACAAGAAAACTTACAATTATCAACAAGTTTCATCCTCCTCTTCAGAAATTACAACCAATGTAGTACTGGGGAAGGTCTCTTTTGTTAGAGTGGCCTAAACTTCAGAGACCTTTAAAAGAGGTTTGTGCTGAAATACTGTAGAGACTAACACTGAGCCACTAAAAGAGAGACTTGATTAGTCATTATGGACTAATGGGCTTTTTTTTTTCAAGGAGAAGAAGAAAGTTGAAAAGAAATGTTTGTGATCTATTTTGAATACAGTTACTGTGCCATGAGAAGTGGAAAGTATCAGACCTTTATCAATAATGGAATAGATGAAGTGTCACATCCTTTTATGAAGGATGTGAGCATGTGCAATATGCCAGTGCTATGGTCCAACCATCTCACCTCACTGTGTTTTTGAGACTTGACTAGTGGAGAGCAGTTGATACTAAAAGGTTAATGTCAAATATCCTTCTTCTCTTTGTTGAGTCAAGTTCTGCAAAGGTTAAATTCATGTTAAAAAAAAAAAAAAAGGAGAGAGGAAAAATACCTTTATGTCAAATTTAGGAAGGAACTTGAAGGAACTTGTTCAGGTAAGCTTAAATCCCAGATAGGTATTTGTGGAGTTTTTATATGCTCTCTGTGAAGTATGTGCAAAGTGGAAATCAGAAAACTGCTTTTAGGTTACATCCTTTCAGAAGAGAAGTGTGGCCATATGTAGTAGCTCTTGAGAAGATTTCTATTGTGTGAACCCAGATGGTTAAAAGCAATTCGAATGACTCTTGCACTGAGGACAGGATGGTAGGGAGTGCATGGTCTGTAGCATGAAGGGACAGGTTGGCTGTAAGGGCATGCTTGCACTGGAGTGGATGGCAGCAGAAACACCAGGACAAGATAAAACTCTGACCTGTTGTCTCTTGTGAAATGGGAGTAGTAGGTATCTTGATGTGGTCTGAAATTGCATTGTTTCACTGCTAACTTTTGAAACTGGCAAAGACAACTTGTCTGTAGCAGAATGACTTTTCCAGTAGTGGAAAACCCCCATTTTTCTTACAAAGCTGGGGTTTTTTTTTTGAGTCTGACCATGGGTAATCCTTTTGTTTTGTTCTGCAGGTGACAACTGGATGTAAAGGCTTCATGGTTTATGCAATCTGAGCTTTCATTATATTATATCAGTTTCCTAAATAGAGACTGGATGTTAAACCAGTCTATGTTTTGGTTATGCTGTAGTTAGCGTTCTCTGCTGTGAGGGTTTTGGAAGACTCACAAGGCTCAGTGTATCTGAAGAAGCCCTACCTTCTGACAAGGAATGGTTGACTGTAATCTCTTCTGTGCAATTATTTTCTGTGATCCTAATTTGTTTTGCTAAATGGTTGCTTGTGACAATTTAGTTTCACTGTATGATAGCGCATGACTTCTGTATTCTGCTACCTCTCAACTGAAATGCTTATTTAGGTAGTCTGGTCTCTAATAGCTGCTCTTATGGAACACTTCACACTTCTCCTTGTTTAGTAGATGAGACAAAAGGAGTCTTTTGACCAGATGTGAAAGCTGCAGGTTTTCCTCATCTCTTATCCCTGCTTGTTCACCTTGTGAACCAGAGAAGGAGAGAACATCTTTAAGAGGAAGGAGGCATATAGCTACTCAGTGTCTGGCTCCTGCTTCAGTATGTGAAACTGCTTTTTCAAACAGGTTTTCTCGGTCCAGCCGAGAAGACTGCGCAAATTGACTTTACTCTCAAACTAGTGTATTGTGAAGAGAATTAGAAAAGCTGGAGAAAGAAGAAACTAGGTATATTAGCTTTACTCTAAACGTAAAAAGCTTTTTGCATTGTCAGCACATCTTAGTAATGTGGTAAAGAACATCCCATTGCAAGTCATCTCTGTCAGAGAAGAAAACAGAGAAAAATACACTTTTTTTTTTGTAGTTTAATTTTTCCAAATGTTTTGAAGTGTTATTTGCTGTCATTTAACTTGAGGAAGTGTTAAGATTTTATCCTGGCATTGGGTGAATAAATTCTTTGTGTGCTTCTTCTTTTTGTCTTTTTTGAGGCTTTTGTATATAAATCTAGTTTAAAAGTAAAGATCTTGGTTGTTTTCTACAAGTAAATAATACTACTGACATAGATGAAAAAGATACATATGGAAAATATTGGTCTTTTTTCCTGTATACTTAATACCTAAAAATACTCTTTCTCCAGTTTCAATGTATGTTTGTGTAGTCAAAGTAATGAGAAGATTTGTGTCTTGATGTCTACTGAATGACAAATTTATTCAAGTGATGCATATGAGTCTTACCTTAGCTGAATTGTGCTGACTTGGTGGTTTCTTCCTTGGGATGTCTTATTTCATTTTTAAAATCTCTTTAATTCTTTTATTACCTACATTATTGGAATTTTTAAAGGCTTTGTTCTGTAAGCAGACAGAACAGGACATGTCAATATTTGTCTGTGACCACATCCTGCAGAAACATGACTAGTTAGTCCTGTTTTTTAAAGAGACTTTTTTATTTTTTAAAGATGAGCTCAGAATTTTGACACAAAATTCATACACAGTTAAAAAGCGTTGTGATTTGAGTGAAAACATCATGTGAACCAACAATACATGAAAATAACTAAGTAAAAATAGCAATTAAAACATGTACAATAACTTTCAGTCATGAGGTATTGTTGGTGCTGTTTTCAGATGAGCAGAGGGAAAAGCTCTCAATTGTTCTTAAGTCGGCTGGTAACTGAATCCACGTTTGTGAAGCTTGACAACAAAAGGCTTTTTGTTCACCATTTGTGTTCATCTAGGACATGCCAAATAAATAGAACTAGTTTATAAGCAGGACAGTATAACATGTTGCTCAAATGACTTACCAGAAATCCATAATTTATATTGAAATATTTAGAATTACGTGTACAAGCTTATTGGGAGCTTTTAGATTTCTGCATGGATGAGCATAATGTAATTGTTTGAGGAAGCACACATTGCTATATTTGATGTGGCAGCAAGATGTGCAACTTGAGCAAAACTCCTTCAGAATATTACTTGCAATAATTTTATTAATTTAGTGAGGCAACACTGACTGGGTCAATGCCAGTGGGTGCTTGATAAAAGAAGCAAACGATGCCTTTTACTCCTGTGGTTCACAAATAAAGCATTCTAGCAAAAATTATTCCATTTCCCCCACATTTGTTCAATTCTCCTGGGCTTTGTTATCAGAGTAGTTGTGTGACTTGCAGGCCAAGTCAACATGAGTGACTTTCTCTGCTGGGCCATTCAGTAACTTGCATCTTCTCACTGTTGGCACTGTGGTACTTGTGCCTCCTGTACTCTTCACAAGGATCAGCATGCTCCTTGTAGGGTGTTACTCCAGTCATGATGAATGAGCATGAACACTGGTGGAACTGTAGAAGATTTAGGATGTACATTTTACTGATTTTTTTTCTGTTCATTGGATAAGGGAACAAAAAAAACTGGTTAAACAGGGTCTGACCTAAAAGAGCAGAAAAAATAACAGTTGATAAAGCACAGTACCCACCCCTCCATGTATCAACCGTGCAGGTCTTGTTCTTGATTAAAACAGATGTATCTAAAGACAGAAGTGTAATGAACTATGAAATGCATTGAGGTGGTGGTTATGTCTTGATAAATGAGCATATCATTTGAAATAATTTGCTTTGGAATTTTTTGTGGTGTATGGAAAAGAAACTTTCAGGTCACACATCTGAAAAGTGTGAAAGATGTCTTGCTAGTGGAAAGGTATGCATGTGGGAAAGCACTGAAAAAGGATAAACAGCAGCTTTGAAGTTCTTTGTCAGTATGGGCTTCTCATGCTGGTCATTGGTTTAACTCATGTTAATCTCTCAGACTGTTCCTTTTCTGCCCTTTTTCAGGTAGTGGTGCTACAGCAGTTGTCCAGGCAGCGCTCTGCAAACCCAGGCAAGAACGTGTAGCAATAAAGAGGATCAACTTAGAAAAATGCCAAACCAGTATGGATGAATTACTTGTAAGTAAATAAAGGGGCAATATGTTACATGGAGACTTACTTTCTGTTTTGACTTTATTTTTTGCTTTGTCCAAGAGTGAGGGTAGAACTTTATGCAGGATATGAGAGAAGGGTTTGAAAATAATCTGAAAGACTTACACCATTCCCTAAAGATACAATTTTTAAATGCATATTTTTTCATGTCACAAAAATGACATATGCAAACTTTAATCTTGGGATAATCAACTTGGGATAACTGTGGGAAGACCCTAAACTCTTGTTTTCTGGAAGCTCAGTTTTTAAGTGATTACTGCCTGGTTGCCTGTCTTTTTTAATACTGAGGAAAGATACATTTTCCTTTGGTTAAACACTGATTAAAAATATGAAGAAAAAAATTCAGTAGGTCTCCTTAAAATGTCTAAAGCACCAAAACATGCTGGATCATTTAATAATGATAACTTTTAAGGAGGAAAGGAGGAATGGCTACACTGCCATCTACACTATTAAAGCTAGTAACACGCATTTATTGGATAGGCCATGAGAATGTTTGAAGAGTTTTATTTGTTTGGGCCACTGATCAGAGAAGAAAGGGACCTGAAAGAAGCCATTTGTAAAGGAACTGCCAGAGTTTTTCATCTGCACTGGTTATGGCAATCCAGAAAATTCACAAAGAACTATTGAAACACAAAACCTATTGCTTTCTAATGCTCCTAGATAGGTGCTTGTAAGACTAATGTTTGTTTTTATATAGGCAGCATAACAAGATTTGAAGGACACAAAACTTTTCTAAAAATGAGAACACTCTCTTCTGTTCCACAGGTTATACTACAGCCTAGAGACTGTGGGCTTTTTCTAATGCAGAAATTCCTGCCTCTGAAGGAAATGATCTCCTCAGCAGGGAATTGCCAGTGCAAAAGATATCTTGAATTTGATACAGAGGGTATGGTCCGTCCAGTTTCTTCAGCTAAAGTGGCTTTTTTACAGTGGAGGACCCAAAATGTTCTTCCCCTGGTGATTGATGGCATTCGCCTTCAGTTTATGTGACCGCTTGTATGCAACATTGTTGTGCTTTTTACGAGGATTGTGGTAGTGGAAGTTACTTCTGAGGTAGTGAGAATTCTGTCAACTGAAAACTCAAAAGATAAATTCTGAGCTGTCTTTAAGCCCAAGGTGAGATGCGGTGCATGATGTATTAACGGCTACAGTCCCCAAAGAACATTTCTATAAAAAGATAATTACAATTACTTGTAAGATAAATTGGTCAGAATTGTAAATTTTTGGTTAGAATTTGAACTAATACTGGGAATTAAGTATTAAAAGATGTTACAAGCAAATGAGCAAAACCAGACAAAACTGCCAGAAATCTGCAAGAGAAATTCTTGTGGTCTGGAGAAACTATTGCATTTAGTTATGAGCTTGTAAAAAATTACCTTGCCCAAATGCTTGAGTGTCTTTACTGTTGAGATGTCACCACTGTCTGTCAAATGAGATAGTAGGTCTTGAATTTTTGGTCCTATATTGCTTTCTTTTGGTACAAAGACAACTGTCCATACCATCTTTTTTTATTTTATAACACAAGTCAATTTCTACTTTTCTGTGCTCAGAGTTTTTGTTTCTTTAATTTGTTGATCTGTTTTGATCTGAACATGAATTGGGATTTTCCTGGTTAGGAGAGTTATAGAGGCGTGTACACATATGTGCATGTGTACACGTACCGAGTTAACTTTTTTCTGTGAGGTTCAATATACTTATGACTCAGTTCTTAAGAAGCTATAAAATTTTTTTTGAAAAATAGAGACTTTTTCTGGTAAAAGGCATAATTGACCTTCAAAACTCTTGTTACAACTGTATTAACATTTTCATTTCAGTTGATAGTACTTAGAATGTTCTTGTGTTTTTGGCAGAATTTGAGTCTAAAAATGTTGAGTTTAATCAGTTCTTAATCACTTATTTTTCTGATGAAACATTTTTTGTTGGCACAGGAATGTTCTAAAACTGTCTGTTCTCTGAACATGCTGTTTTTTAAAATGATGGTGCAGAGTGCTTATGAATGCTGTGCACAGGCACCCTTCACAAATTCTCAGCTTTGTGGGCTTCAGAGAAGTGGAAATGCATCAAGCCCAGTGCCCGTGTAAGCAGACTTAGGATTTGGGCCAGTGTCAATTAAAATAGAAAGGCAGTGTGGGAGGGAGTTTAAATATTACTGAGGTTGCACAAACTGCCAAACTCCTGAAATTCGATACTCCGTTTCCTGCAATGTCCTGTGTTCTCACTATTGTAACCTTAGTGTAACTTTACCCCCTAAGCCAAGACAAAAGTCCTGTCCTTAGTACTGTCCTGACTGGGTACCTTCCCCATTCTTTTACCTCCAGTTTTTTAGAACAATCAAAAGCTCAAGGCCACAAACTCCAGGATGTTCTGTGGGCTGGTTGTTTGGTTGAAGGGGTTTTCGAGGCTGTTTTTGTTTCTGCGGTGGCTGCCCCGGGCCCGCGGCCCCTGAGCCGGGCCCGGCCTGGCTGCAGCCGCTCCGCGCAGAGAGGAGCCGCCTCGCTGTTGCTTATTAACTGTGTCACCCACCTGCCCGCAGGCTGAAAGACATTTTTGTGCAGCTGCTCAGTGAAACTGGATCAGGAATAACCTGGCTGAAAGAGGTTAGCTTTTAACCTGGGCATATTGCCTGGTGCAGCACACAAATGCCTATGCTAGTGCAGGGAGGGGATGAGGGAGAGACTTAAATCACTGTTACTTCTTTGCTGCTGTTGAATGTCTGGGGTGACATAATGTGAAGAAGACTCCAGTGTGCTCTCCTGGATGTTCTACTGCAAGCTGTTTCCCTGGCAGTGCATTTTAAATGAATGCTTTTCTTTTTCACCTGTGCATATCATGGGCCACAGCCAAATAGATGAAGTCTGTGGAGGCTTACTATTCTGTTTGTGACAGGAGTTTTCTAGAACTGCAAGTCTGAAATTAATTAATTCTTTCCTGACTAAAATTCCATCCCTTATCTCTCATGCTTTCTGTTTATTTTTGTTTTGCAAAGACTCTTTGGAAAAAAGTCATGAAAGCTGAGACGCAAGGTGCCTTTGGCAATGGTTACTGCAGTAGCTCAATTGTTGCCCAAGAGTTGATGCAGGGAGGTAAAACATTCAAAGCACTTTTCAGTTAAAGATAGTGAAGCTTATCTCAGATGCATTTTTGCCCAGTGGTGTCAGCTGGACTTTTTGAGTCACTGCTATATTACCAGCATAGGAAAATAATAAAACAGTGTAAGAAATGAAATAGAAACCAGGACTGGGGAAGTTGCAGTTAAGGTCTGGAATGGGTAGCTGAATTAAGAACATGAGGCAGTGATTTGACTTGTGTTTAAGATGACATGTCTTCTGGGAGAGGGAAATGTACTCCACATGTCTGTCTTCTGTCTTTCACCTACTGTCTTCTGGGGGATGACAGGGAGCAATCTTGCAAATTGCTCTTATTATTCAGGCTCATTGATTCATTATCCAGGCATTCTTCCTTCTGTGTTTCAGGGTTCAGAAATTGTCTAAGGAGGGGGACTTTGGACAGCAGAACAAGCTGAAATGTGTGCCAAACTACAGCCTGACTTTAATAGTCACCTACAAGCACCATGAGATTAAATCCCATTCTTTAATACATATAATTAACTTTTTATTAGAAACCAGCTGTGATTTTAAGTGCATTGCAAATAACAAAAAACCTTTTTCAAACAATTGCTAAAATGAAGTTTAAGGTTGAAAATGGCCATTTGTGGCAGCTTTAATCAACCTAAGTGGGACCTGGGTAGTAAGTGACCTGCACAATTGCTGTTGAGTCAGAGAGAAACACAGTCCACCTCAAACAGTTGCTTTTCAGGGAGAGAGGAGAGGAGGAAGATTTTTTTTAGCTGGATTGGCTTCCAGACTGGCTTACCCTCCAGGAGCATGTCCTCTAGTACCAGGAGTGAATCAAGGCTCTGTGGCTGGAGATAGAGAGGGAGAAGTAGGGTTGGGGCAACTTAAATCGGTGTGAGGCCAAACCTTGTGGTACAGAAGTGGCCTCATGCTCCTGTGTAAAGGATTGGCAGAAGAGCAGCCGGAAAGGTGTTACAGAACAATTATGTGAAAGAGTGAGTAGAAAAAGAACTCTGCTTGAATTAACAGATAGAAGACAGTCATTCTTAATTTGTACAGCTGTGGTGTGTCATAGATGCTGTTACTTGGTAGTACCACGTTGTGCATCTGTTGGTGACTGTGTGTTCCTCTAGTCAATTGTTTCCTATGACTTTTGGCCCGTAATATTGCTTTTTCTCTATTTAATTGTGTGGCTCTGGTGTCTACCTGTCTCTCCCACAGTAGCTGAGCCAGTGGTGCTGTGTCGTTTGTTTGATGGCTTCCTTCCTCCTTTTCTACCTGTTCCCATTCTGCTCTTCATATCCCTTTTGAACAGAAAATGCAGTAGATTT